AAAATAAAAAGAGTTGTAACAATAACAACAAAGAACATGAGACTTACTGTGTGCCCAGCAAAGCCTAAAATACAGTAATCCCCCCGTATCTAAGGTTACCATTACCTGCAGTACCATACAATAAGATTTTTTGCTGTTGTTTTGAGATGGAGTTTCACTCTTGCTGCCCAGGCTGGAGTGCAATGGAGCAGTCTCAGCTCACCGCAACCTCTGCCTCCCAGGTTCAAGCGATTCTCCTGCCTCAGCCTCGCAAGTAGCTGGGATTACAGGCACCCACCACCATACCCAGCTAATTTTTGTATTTTTAGTAGAGACAGGATTTCACCTTTTTGGTCAGGCTAGTCTCGAACTCTTGACCTCAGGTGATCCACTTGCCTCGGCCTCCCAAAGTGCTGGCATTACAGACATAAGCCACCGCGCCCAGCATACAATAAGATATTTTGAGAGACCACATTTACATAACTTTTACTACAATGTATTTTGTAATTGTACTCTTTCATTATTGTTGTTGTTAATCTCTTACTGTGCCTAATTTATAAACTAAGCTTTATCAGAGGTACGTACGTATAGGAAAAACACAGTATATGTACAGGGTTCAGTACTATCCAGGGTTTTCAGGCATCCACTGGGTGTCTTGAACACATCCCCTAGGATAATGGAGGATTACGGTATTTACAATGGCTCTGAAACCTCCCTTTTCAGAAAAAGTTTGCCAACCTCTGTTCTATTTCATAATGGAATGTAAAGTCTCTTACTAAATTGAGCCAGGCATGGTGGCTCATGCCTGTTATCCCAGCACTTTGGGAGGCTGAGGTGGGCAGATCAGCTGAGGCCAGGAGTTCGAGAGCAGCCTGGCCAACATGGTGAAAATCTGTCTCTAGTAAAAAATAAAAATAGAAAAATTAGCCAGATATGGTGGCGCACGCCTGTAATCCCAGCTACTCAGTGGCTGAGACACGAGAATCATTCAAACCTGGGAGGTGGAGGAAACAGTGAGCTGAGAATGTGCCACTGCACTCCAGCCTGGGTGACAGAGCAAATAAATAAATAAATAAACTCTCTTATCAAATTAAACACTTTGATACTTCTAAATTTACATTTAAAGCAATTTACTTATTTTTGAGACAGGGTCTCACTCTGTTCCCCGGGCTGGAGTGCAGTGGCTCGCTCAACAACTCATTGCAGCCTCGATCTCCTAGGCTCAAGCTATCATCCCTAGCAGCTCAAACTTAGAGGAAAGCACCACCATGCCTAGCCAACATGTGTATTTTTTTGCAGAGACAGGGTTTCGCCATGTTGCCCAGGCTGATCTGGAATTCCTGGGCTCAAGCTAGGATCAAATGATCTACCTACTTCATCCTCTCAAAGTGCTGGGATTACAGGTGTGAGCCCAGCATACATTTAAGGCCAATTTAGGTGACTTTTTCTCTTTATTTCCCACTCCTCTCCTCCCTGCCCAACTGTCTTTTGGCTTACTAGCGACTTTCTTCACATAGAAGTACTTATGCACATGTTTATTACAATATCCTGGGGTGGCAAAAAGAAAACCAGAGGCTCTGTCTAACTTTAGTTTAATAACAGCATTCTAGCACAAACATTTTTCCAATAGTAAGTTTAAGTTCCATAAAGGATTAGGAAATCGGGCCTATGTTAACCAGAACCCATGTCTTATGCCAATTTTTCCATCTGTATAGATCCCATATTGGGGGAAGGAAAGAGACTAACAGTTCCCAGTGCTAATTCAATAAACTGATTAAGAGTTGGCTGGAATAATATTCATCCAGCTTCAACAACAAAGATAAAACAGGTATGAGATGGTGACTTAGAACTAAATGTGTGTATGGCCAGGCGCGGTGGCTCACACCTGTAATCCCAGCACTTTGGGAGGCCGAGGCGGGCAGATCACCAGAGGTCGGGAGTTCGAGACCAGTCTGACCAACATGGAGAAACCCTGTCTCTACTGAAAACAGGGGGGGAAAAAAAAAAAAAATCAGTTGGGCATGGTGGCACATGCCTGTAATCCCAGCTACTCGGGAGGTTGAGGCAGGAGAGAATCACTTGAACCTAGCAGGCAGAGGTCGCGGTGAGCTGAGATCGTGTCATTGCATCCAGCCTGTGCAATAAGAGTGAAACTCCGTCTCAAAAAATTAAAATTAAAATTAAAAAAAAAAAAAGAACTAAATGTGTATCATTCAAAGGAATTAAACAGACTTTTTTTTTTCTTTTTTTTTTTTTTGAGACCGAGTCTCGCTCTGTAGCTCAGGCTAGAATGCAGTGGTACGATGATCTTGGCTCACTGCAACCTCTGCCCCAGGTTCAAGGGATTCTCCTGTCTCAGCCTCCCAAGTAGCTGGGATTACAGACGTCTGCTACCACGCCTGGCTAATTCTTGTATTTTTTAGTACAGGCAGGGTTTCACCATGTTGACAGAGCTGGTCTGGAGCTCCTGACTTCAAGTGATCTGCCCACCTCGGCCTCCCAAAATGCTGGGATTACAGGTGTGAACCACGGGGCCCGGCCCCGAAATTTTGTTAAAAAGAATTAAATGTGTGGGACATCTGTGGATTTGACAGTAGGTTCTTCACCACTTGTAGCACCTGAAGTCCAGGTGTGGTGACACATTTAAGACTTTCAACAATAAAAATAAAGTGAAAAAAGAGTAAACCTTATGCTCAAAACATCAATGGTAAAAGAGATGGTGCAATCTAGTAACATCACAGAGGTATTCAAAGATCTGGAAAGCAGCATAAACCTATCAGACTGACACATCAGAAAATACTACGTTTTCAGAGCAACTAGAAATATGTGATACAGGGGGAGGAGATAGTACTAAAACCAATCTCTGAGGCAAGTAATACAAAAATAAAACATCCTTCTCCCTACACTGGAATGGAAAAGCTAGAAGCCTACTTTCTGTGAAACTATCAAACCTGAAAAGCAATTTGAGTCGAAACTTTGAGTCCTCTTTATTCTTCCCAAATAATTAAACATTCTGCTGAATAAATCAAAATTCAATACACATACTTTAAATAGATGAAGGAGTAAGACTTAAGGGAGGATTTTATTTGGGCTACCTTGTAGAATAGGACTACCCTATATCTTACTCTGTATTTACAAAACACTTCAATAAGAATACAGAATATTCTTATTCTTTTAGAATAGAGGGCCGGGCCCAGTGGGTAACAGGAGCAGACACTCCATCTCAAGAAAAAAAAAAAACAGAATACAGAATCTCTTTAATAAAGAGATTATTCTTAAGCAGGGGTCACTAATCAGTACAATTTTGATTGTACTGCACCCACATGTCTGATACGAGACACTTATTATAAAGGTATTTTTTTCTATGCCAGAGGAAATTTTTTAGTCCTTAACGATATATCCCTAAAAAGCAAACTAACAAACTGTAGCATTTGAATACCTCCGATGCGCTTTTTTTAAAAGAGGCGACACATTTAAAGTTTCCTTTACGCACCTAAACTTTCTGTAAGGATTTTATTATAATTTTAATAATAAAATTAGTACTACACCACCAATATAATCAACACACAAATACTTGTGTCATTAATTACAATACCAATTATTTAATATGAGAAAAACCAGCCCTAAAAAGGTAGCTATGAAACCACTGGCACGCACTACAGGAGTGTTAATTCACACACAGGACTTATTAGGCATCTGAATTGCACATTACATTGGCTAAGCGCTTCATAATCATTGTATTAGCGGTTTCTAGTCCAAAACAGCCCATGAAGAACTTTACAGAAGAGGAACCGAGGCCCAGAGAGGAACCAAAGAAAACCAAATTTTACCCTGGAGGAAATAACACCATTCTGTTAGAACGAGCCAGATACTTCTAATCACTTTTCATGCGCAATATGAATTTTGCCAAAGTAATTAATGAATATGAAAAATACCAAGAAAACGTACTGAATTCTACCAAAGCGTCTGACTGCTTAAACACTTAATTACTTGAGACTAACTACATTTCATTATACAGAAACAACTATAAGGAAGTAAAAGTCTCCCAAATGACAAACTTACTGGCTAAATATAAAGGAGTTATTTTTGTTCGCATTTGCTAAAAACAAACAAACAAGCGTAATCAAAGAAGCTCATCGAACAAGTTTAAAGTCAGGACCTGTAATGAGGAGTCAGAACCGTTACCAGAAAAAAAGAACCCAGCTCAAGCGGTGTAGTAGGGAGGAAGTTATTAAGAAGTCAGAATCTGCTGCTGCTTAACAGGCTCAGCCAGTCCATCTTTCAGAAGATAATAGTTCTAACCAGAACTTGTGGTTTAATCAGTGCATATCTCAGCACCAGCAATGGATCACATCCAGTGTTTCTGAGGGTAACAAAAAACTTGAGCTGGCGCTAGATGTGGAGGAAAGTTATTTCCTTGCCCCACTTAAACATCCCTATGTCTTCTATCTTCGGGTTACATCTTAATGAGAAGGCACTACACTCTCACCCAGAGCACAGCTTCCCTGCGGAGCTGTCCTGACCCCAGCCAGGTTCCTCAATCAGAGCCCAGGAACCTAATTTCCCTGGTTAGATCTCACCCAGCCAAGAGCCCCAGCCGGTAAATCAAACACTCTTCCTCACGCCCTCCCTGCTAACCTCCCAGGCCAATTCCGTGACCTACATCCCTACACCCTGCACAGAGCCCCAAACTCCGCACCCCCCATTATACTTCCGCCCCACTGGCTTCCCAGTTAACCTTCGCCCCAGCCCCCACTCCATCTTTGTCTGGCTACCCCAAACGCGGCACCCCAGCGTTCCCCGACTCCCAACGGCAGCCCCTCCCCCACGCCGCCCCCCACCCTCCCGGCCTCGTCCCCGCCCCCACGCCCCCCATCCCCCGGCCGGTCACCCCGGCTCCGCGCCTCCCCGGCTTCACCAGACACGTCCCCTCCCCCGCTTCCTCCGTCCGCTCGTTCCCCACCCCGCGGCCCTCCGCCCACGCCCACCCTGCAACAGCCGGCGCTCCGCAGGCCTTTCACCTTGTCCATGAGCTTCCAGCACTTCTCCACCATCTTCTTGTCCACGGTCCCCGGCGGGTGGGGGCTGAGGTGGTGGTGGTGGTGGTGGTGGTGCGGCTGGAAGGCGTCCTTCATGAGCCCAATCAGGCCACCCGAGCCCGAGCCCCCGGAGCCGCCGCCGCCCCCGGCCCCAGAGCTCTTCTTCACGTTGCCGGCCATGGCCTGGGCAGGGTCGGAGCCCAGGCGGGTCCGCCGGCTCGGCTCGACTGCGAGCGAGGGAGAGAAGCAGGGCTTGAAGGAGGGGCCTCTCCCGGCCGCCGCCGCAGCCGCCGCCGCCGCCGGCTATCCGGGCGGAGGGAGGAGCGGCCGTGGGGAGGGGAGTGGGCGGTGCCGGGAGAGCGCGGGACGCGCCCCTTCCGAGCGCGCGAGCCCGAGGCGGGAGGGGCGCGCGTCCCAGAGGCGGACCGGCTTACCGGTGAGCTCGGGGAAGCGGCCGGCCGCGGCCAGACTGCGCAGCGACGACCCCCGGGCCACCGGCTCCGAGCAGCCCGCGTGCCCACAGCTCCCGGAAAGCCGCAGCGAGGTTTCCGTGCCCGTCTCCCCCGCCCCTACGCCGGGGGCGGGGCGGGGCCATGCTGGGGCGGGGCCGGCGGAACCTTCGGGCCTGCGCCCTCTGCTGGAGAAACGGGGAAAGGAGCGGCGGGGGATTGGAGGTGGGGGTAGGTCCAAGGTGGAGTCTGCGCAGTAGTCAGAAACCGAGACTTCCATGCTCCTGTGGGCGGGAGGTTGGCGCTCCTGGGGTGGGTCATGGGAATGTTTAAATTAAGACAGGTGGCAATGGAATGGAAGTCTTGATGTCAAGTCTTTCCCCACGCCTGACAAATGACGAAATGGAGATTAGAGTTATTTGCTTATTTACACTGTGGGAGGATGGTGGGAGAAAAAGGAAAGTTATTTCTCCACCCCTTATTATTTTCAAGTCTTCATTAAGACACGACCAAGGACAGGAATATGAATGCTGCGGCCTGTTCCAGCCGGATTAGGCCCCCAGCAAGGCTTGAGACACTCAAGCCAGTAGCTCTTCTTCCAGGCCCTTTGACCTCTTGAAAAGAAAGTACTTCCTTTTTTTTTTTTTTTTTTTTTTTTTTTTTTTTTTTTTTTTTTTTTTGGCTCGTGAAGACTAGTTACGTTTCTGGGAATTGAGTCTCAAACATGTATTTAAGATTCTCCTATTCGGAGCATTGCACCACAGGTCGGCGCCGCCAGCATGAGGGCCCCCTTAGAAGCTGACCTGCTGCTGGCTCTGCCCGAGGGGCTTCTCTCTCCCACCCAGGGAACAGAAATGCTGTTCCCGGTCACTTCCACTTCTCGGTCAATTACACTTCTCTAATGTAAAAGTTTCGTTGGAAGAACTTTGAAAATAGGAACTTCCCTTCCAAAGAAGGAAGTGCCCTGCCCTAATTTACTAATTCTGAGCCTCGGTTTTGGGAGTTTGCAGACCCAGGTGTGTCAGTAAGTATTAGTTCCGCCTTCGATCCCCCTCCAGGCTCTTCACAAAGCACAAAGGATTAGGGAGCTATATTTATCAGGTGCTCCTGAAAGGGGAAAATATCTTTGAATGCAGGGACCTTTCAGCCAGGCATCCTGGGTTTGCAATTTAATCGCCTTTATCTAGAATTGATTTTGGAGTCAACATTATTATTTACTATCAGAAGAATTTCCTTTTATCAGTTTCCATTCAGGAAGAGAAGAATCTATGAAGGGAAAATCTAGGCAAAGCTCCATCCTTAGTGCCAACACCTAGTTGCAGGTCCTCCCTTTCCCTGGACTGTTGAAACTTTTCCTCTGCCTTCAATTCATCCTGCCACCATAGGCTTCCTATAGTATAGTTCAGACAGCATCACAGACTTTAAACACTTCCCATTGCCTCTGGAATAAAATTGACAATCAAGTTGCTCTAACTCCAAGCTAAACAACCTTGTAGTTTTATAATACTCCCTGGTACACATGTCTTATGCTAACTGACTCACCAAGTCATCAAATACAATTCTATTTATTTATTTATTTATTTTTTATTTTTTATTTAATTTTATTTTGAGACAGAGTCTCTCTCTGTCACCCAGGCTGGAGCGCACTAGCACAATCTCGACTCACTGCAACCACTGCCCACCGAGTAGCTGGGATTACAGGTGCCTGCCACCATGCCTGATTGATTTTTGTATTTTTAGTAAAGACGAGATTTCACAGTGTTGGCCAGGCTGACATGACCTCCAATTCCTGACCTGAGGTGATCCACCCTCCTCGGCCTCCCAAAGTGCTGAGATCACAGGCATGAGCCACCGCACCTGGCCAATTCTTTCTTTCTTCATCACCATTACTCAGACTGTTCCCTTATTCCCTCTGCCTGAAGTGTGCTTTAAAATCCAATCCGTTCAGCCCAGTGCAGTGGCTCACGCCTGTGATCCCAGCACCTTGTGAGGCCGAGGGGGGCGGATCACCTTAGGTCAGGAGTTGGAGACCAGCTTGGCCAACATGGTGAAATCTCATCTTTACTAAAAATACAAAAATTAGCAGGGTTTAGTGGCGGGCATCTGTAATCCCAGCTACTCGGGAGACTGAGGCAGGAGAATCACTTGAACCCGGGAGCCAGAGGTTGCAGTGAGCCGAGATTGTGCCACTGCACTCCAACCTGGGCGACAAGAGTGAAACTCTGTCAAAAAAAAAAAGAATAAATAAAGTAAGGTTAATAAGAAAAGGAAGATTGCCCTTTACTTACCTTTTTTTTTTTCCCAAAAAAAAAAAATTAGCTGGGCGTGGTGCAAGCCACCACGCCAGGCCACAATTTTTATTTGGCTTGTTTTAGAAAACGTACAAGAGAGAGGATTGGACTGTTGATCACAATGTTATTCCCATTCCAGATTATGCTAGAGTTGGTTCATCCTGCATCACATCGTGTAACATGTAGCCTTTTTCTTACCCCACTTCACCTTCACCCCAAACCACATCCTCATTCCACACCTGAAAGTCCATTGACTGAGCCGAGCATGGTGGCTCACGCCTATAATCCCAACACATTGGGAGGCCGAGGCTGGCGGATCACTCGAGATCGGGAGTTTGAGACCAACCTGACCAACATGGCGAAACCCCATCTCTACTAGAATACAAAAAGTAGCCAAGCGTGGTGGTGGGCACCTGTAATCCCAGCTACTCTGGAGGCTGAAACAGGAGAATGCCTTGAACCTGGGAGGCGGAGGTTGCAGTGATCCGAGATCGCACCACTCCACTTCAGCCTGGGCACAGAGCGAGACTGTCTCAAAAGAAAAAAAGGAAAGTCCATTGACTGAACGTATTTGTAAACTACATTCTCTTCTGGGGTATAGTTGCTTATATTCTGCAATCTGTATTCTAATGTCATTCTATGCATCAGGATGAGAAAAGAAAAGTAGCTCAAAGCTGTCTGAACTGTGTGAGGTATGCAAAATTATCAGGCCCAGAGAAACATAAGTATGGGACTTCAGTCACAAACCCCCGACCCATGCCTGGGGGCAATGGTTTAAAGGCATTTGGTCCCTGACTAGCTGCTTCACCCATCATCTTCATGTTTCTGGAATACAACGTACAACCAATCAAATACCTTACGCTATGTTAATGTAAATGATTAGCAGACAGTTTAGGAACTGCCTCTTCTTTGCATTTGTTTGTTTGTTTATTTATTTATTTTTGGTGGGGTGGTGGTGGTCTCAGGTTGCCCAGGCTGATCTTAAACTCCTGGCCTCAAGTGATCCTCCCGCCTGGGCCTCCCAAAGTGCTAAGATTATAGGCATGAGCCACCACACCTGGCCTCTTTTTTCCTTTAAAAACACACTTGTCAGGAGACTGAGGCAGGAGAATAGCGTGAACCCGGGAGGTGGAGCTTGCATGAGCCGAGATCTCCAGCCTGGGCGACAGAGCGAGACTCCGTCTCAAAAAAAAAAAAAAAAAAAAAGACTTGTTGGCTGGGCCTGGTGGCTCACGCCTGTAATCTCAGCACTTTGGGAGGCGGATCACGAGATCAGGAGTTCAAGACCAGCCTGGCCAAGATGGTGAGATGCTGTCTCTATTAAAAATACAAAAAATCAGCCAGACTTGGTGGTGGGAGCCTGTAATCTCAGCTACTCGGGAGGCTGAGGCAGGAGAGTCACTTGAACAGGGAGGCAGAGGTTGCAGTGAGCCAAGATTGTGCCACTGCACTCCAGCCTGGGCAACAAGAGTGAAACTCCATCTCAAAAAACACACACACACACACACACACACACACACACACACACTTGTAACTGCTACCAATCTGAGCCCATTGTCAAGGGCAACTTGAATCTATGCTCCTGGATTGCTGTCCTCAAACTTGGCCCAAGTAAACTCTCTGCTTAAATTTGTACCAGTCTTTTCCTTTACATCAACAAGTAATGGGGACACTAATCATTCCACGGAAAAAAAAGTTTCCAACCAAGCAAGGTAGCTCCTGCCTGTAGTCCCAACACTTTGGGAGGCTGAGGCAGATGGATTGCTTGAGCCCAGGAGTTCAAGACCAGGATGGGCAATATAGGGAAACCCTGTCTCTGTAAAAAATGCAAAAATTTGCCAGGCTCAGTGGCTCATGCCTGCAATCCCAGCACTTTTGTTACAGGAAAGGGGTCCCGATCCAGATCCCAAGAGAAGGTTCTTGGATCTCACACAAGAAAGAATTCAGGGCGACTCTAGAGTAAAGTGAAAACAAGTTTATTAGGAAAGTGTTGGAACAGAAGAATGGTGACTCCATAGACATAACCATTTTTATGGTTATTTCTTGATGATATGCTAAACAAGGGGTGGATTATTCATGCCTCCCCTTTTTACACCATACAGGGTAACTTCCTGATGTTGCCATGGCATTTGTAAACTGTCATGGCGCTGGTGGGAGTGTAGCAGTGAGGACGACCAGAGGTCACTCTCGTCACCATCTTGGTTTTGGTGGGTTTTGGCCAGCTCCTTTACTGCGACCTGTTTTATCAGCAAGGTTTTTATGATCTGTATCTGTGCCAACCTCCTATCTCATCCTATGACTTAGAATGCCTTAACCTTCTGGGAATGCAGCCCAGTAGTTCTCAGTCTCATTTTACCCAGCTCCTGTTCAAGATGGAGTTGCTCTGGTTCACACAATCCTGACACTTGGAGACCAAAGCAAGCAGATCACCTGAGGTTGGGAGTTCCAGACCAGCCTGGCCAACATGGTGAAACCCCATCTCTACTAAAAATACAAAAATTAGCTGAATGTGGTGGCACATGCCTGTAATCCCAGCTACTCAGGAGACTGAGGCACAAGAATCTCTTGAACCCAGGAAGCGGAGGTTGCAGTGAGCTGAGATCACACCACTGCACTCCAGCATGGGCCACAGAGTGAGACTGTCTCAAAAAAAAAAAAAAAAAGAAAGAAAGAAAAACCTCCCAAACCGGCTTCTAGATGAGGAGGACAGGGACAGGAACCACCGCTGCATTACAGCACAGGAGAAGGAGGTGGTGGAGGGAGAATAAATGAAAAACATGCTCAAGATTAGAAGAAGCTGGTCTGATGGTAGT